ACTCTCCGCATCCCTGGAGCTGAACGTTTCCTCTCTGAGTAGGCTCTCGAAAAGAAAGCATGCTGACCTTTGGCGTAAAGCCACCCTGCTGGAGGCTTCCTGGAGGCCGCAGGGTGCCCTGGTCCAAACTGCCGAGAGTACACTCATGTCCTCTGGGTCTGGCTTGTTTCCCTGGGCTGATGTCCTCCAGGTTCATCATCTCCAGCCTGTGTCAGAACCTCTTTCCTCTGAGGACTGAACTTCCCATTATATGTATTTACCACATTGGGGGCTCGGGGGTGGCTTCCACCTATCGGCCCTTGTGAAGCTGAGTCCCTGCTCCCATTCCTCTGCGCACCCCAGCAGTGGACTCCCCGCTGCTTTCCGTATTTGTTGCTGGCTGTCTGGATTTGCATTTACGAATTCCACTTTGTGATCCCAAGTGAAAGACTTCCTGCAGAACTAGCATCTCTACAAACTTTCTCCTTATTGCACCTGTTGAGGTCATGACGCCTAGTTGAGCCTAGTTAGCACACAGTGTGGCAGCAGGCAGCGGTGGGTAGTATAGCTTTGGCTCTCTGGCAGATGAACCTGCAAGGTTCCATGCCCAGTGCAAGGTTTGGGTCTTACCAAGTGTGGTCACTGCCACAATCGTGCCAATTACACAGATGCAGTTCTCTGCACCCCCAAATCCACTCCCCCTCCCTGGGGGCCCTCTCCCCCCCTCCACTCCTGCTCTTCTTGTGTCTCTCTGCATCTTCTTTCCTGAGAAAGCCGGGTGGCCTCAGGCACGCTGGGGTGGGGTGAGGTAGCTGGGCACCAGTTCAGTTCACCCCGTGTTGGAGGTCTAGAGGAAACAGCTGGTCGGCCGTGGGGTGCTCGCAAATCACAGGGGTGAGTAGGGTACCAGCAGGTGGAGACCCCAACTGCTGAGATTGCTACTGCCTGGAAGGCAGGTGACCGTCCGGAGCAGCCGACCTGCATTAGGGCACCACAAGGACTCAGAGAGCCAGAACCCCGGGACCTGGCACCCCTCTGTGCCCACCAGGCCCTGCCATGCTCCATCTCCCTTTCCGTCTGAGTGTGACGTGACGTAGGGCTTTACCATATTTGGTATCCTTGGCCTTTTTTTTTTCTTTTATTTATTTATCCAGGAAGTGAGAGAGACAGAGATACTGCACCCCCGGCAGGGCCCAATGCCACAACGCACCTCGGCCTCGGCCGGCCCAGCCATGGGCACACTCGGGGAGGTCTCCAGACTCCAACTGCAACTTTCCCGAGTGAGCCTGGGTCTGGGCACTGTGAGTCCTGCAGCTCAGGGGTGTCTTCAGCTGAGAACTCAGGACTTCCCAGGAGAGTCAGCCCCACAGGGCAGCACGTTTTACCCAGGGCCACCATCCAGGCTCTGAAGAGAACTTCTGATGATGGCTGAAGCTGCCGCTGTTCGGTTATCCATTAACGTACAGACTGCGTGGCCTAAAACAAAACCGCCTGGTCATCACTCATGATTCAGACAGAGCTCAGCTGGGCGGTTCTTCTGTCGGCGACTGTCAGCTAATGGTGTCAGTGGTGATGACCGCGCCTGGAAGGTCTGGGTCTCTGTGAGGGCGGTCGGAAGGCTGGGTATGCCGGGGCAGTCATGTGGAATACGCACACATCACGTCTCCTGCAAGGCTGCCTCAAGGGAAGCACGCATCTCACGTGACGGTTCAGAGATGGCAGAGAGGAGCGTCCCAGGGAGCAGGGCGGGACCCCCCGGCCTTCTGACGGGCTAGCCTTGGAAATTGCCTGGGCCATCTCCGTTGCTGGCCACTCTTTGAAGCAGTCACAAGCTCACTCAGTTTCAAGGACAAAGGGCGCAAAGCCTATCTTCTGATGAGAGAAGTGTCAAAGAATTTACAAGCATGTTTCAAAGCAGCCATAAATGTGCGTATTTCCAAACCTTTTCTTTTTTCTTTTTTTAAAACAAGATACATGTGCTTACCAGAGAGGGAAAGCCCCTCAGGGGGGCGAGGTCATGCCACAGTACCTTCTGCTCCATCCCTCCATCCTGGTGGGGTTTGGGGTATGGACATCACACACCTGGCAGATTTCTCGAGCCACTGGGGCTGGGATTTGAACTGATGTGGGATCCAGTGCCTTTTGCACAGTGCTCAAACACTGTGCTTTGGGGCTGGCCAGACAACCAGACCTGTACAAGGGTTAATCGCAGGCTCAAACCTCAGCATCTGAAGGGTTGTGGGGTCTGAGAGGAGGAAGATGTTACAGCCCTCTGGGGCATCAGAGGTTTCATGGACACAGTGTGGTGTTTAAGCCAGACTGTGAAGGATGGAAAGTGCATTTTGACTGGATGGAGGAGGGACTGTCTTGGCAGAGATGTGGGGAGAAGAAGCACCCAGAGAGGAGGAGAAGTCTAAGGATGTCCTGGGGGAGGAGGGGCTCAGGAGCAGAGAGGTCTCTCAGGGCGTAATCAGCAGAGTAAGGACAGGGAAGAGTGGGCAAAGGCTGGAGAATGCCCTGAGGAGATGTGCAGTTTGTAGGCAAGGGACAGGCCCTAGCAGAGGAGGGGTTCCAGTTTTAAAATAGTGGGCTCTCACGGCTGGCTGAGGGACCTGGAGGCTGAGAGCCCGAGAGTGACCAGTAGTGACTTCACAGTGAAAAGCAGGAGGTGTGAGAGCGAAGGAAACAAGGGGCTCTACTGGGGGGGGCTGAAGTACAGAGACGAGGGCGGCGGCTTGAATCCTCTGAGTACCGTGGGAGGCCAGGTTGTTGAACAGAAGCGAAAAACCACTAGTGTATCTATTAGACATCTTCATGGAAGTCTTTATTAAAACACAAAATGTAGGGGCTGGCGGGTGGCGTGGTGGTTAAAGATGCTGGACTCCCACATGGCTGGCTGGGGTACGAGTCCCAGACCTGGCAGCTTGCTTTCTCACTTTCTTTCTTTCTCTCTCATCAAATTAAAACAAATAATAATAACGAAGTTAAATAAAATAATTATCTCAAAAATGTAACTGTAAAAGAACTTCAGTATGATAGGAAAATGTGGAGGTGTTGTAATAAATAATTGTACAATGCAATTTTGTTTATAGTTCATGATTTTCCTGATTACAAAAATAATACATCTCTGCTGTAGGAAATCCGGAAAATATAAAAGGATAAGGAATGAAAGTTACCTATATACTGCACTGTCTTCCAAAGACAAAGTCTGGGAGCTGGTTTATCTCCATGTGGCCGACCGCTTATGTAGAAGCGGCTTGGACAGAGGTTCTGTAGAAATTTCTCGGACCGAGCACACTCCTTCAGCATACCCGAGACTATGCAGTTTCATTTGTGCTTCTGAAGTCACCAGGTGCATCTTTAATGGCCGCATGGCATCCGTGTGGCTGAGATACCGAAGCCATTTCACCATGCCCTAGTTCGGAACGTTCCGTTTCCCTGCTGCTTCGTCATTTCCCACACCTGCTTCTGTGCGTAAGCCATCTCCCGGCCCCACAGCACACACATGCAGGTAGACGGCCTCGTGCTAATGGATGAACCCGGGTGTCTCTGACGACTCGTTCAGGCTCGTGAAACATCCCTAAACTGCTTTTCCAGAGACAGGGCGTCCGTTCTGAGCTACCCAGGGCAGCTCATTGACTCCACTGACACCCTGTCACCTTAAAAAGCAGCAGACACTCCGGGAAGGTCGCTGTTTGACGCACAGGGGCATTTTCCCACCATGAAACCTAAGGTCCTGTTTGGAGAGCTGGTACGTGGAGCTAAGACCTTTCTCCTACTCCCAGGGCCCCTCTGTGAGGGGTGGAGGAAGGGGCTTCCGCGGCCCGAGGTGCCTTGCAGCTCGGAGGTTTGCAGACTTCGCTGTCATCCCGGCACCAGACTGCCTAACCTCCGGCCAATAGGACGGACGGAGGAAAGTATTGCAGCGCGCGCGCACACGCGACACACACGCACACGCACACGCCAGGTCCACCCAGGTTGGGTGCCCGCGGCCAGCAGCGAGGCCTCGGCCCGGCCCGCGGGGTCTGGCGCCTGAGCCCCCGCCCACCCTGGGGCCGCGCGCAGGGCGGGGGCGCCCCGGCCAACTTGGCGCGGTCTCGGCCGACTCTCGGGTTACCTGCG